GTATGTTAACCATTTGTTTACCACCCAGGTACTCCTAGATTAGTATAGTTTTAATAAATTATAGTATGTGTTGAGTATTGTCTCCTAGGTATTGAGAAAAATAGCCTGATACAGTGATAGTCCTTACTGGTTTCCAGTTGCTTCACACATTTTGTGCGTGAGCTACCATCCCCAGCATCGAGATAGTTGAGTTTACATTGTTCCTTTTAATCCTCTTACTAGTTTTAGTTCCTCATTTATTTTATTCTTTGTTTTTGGAGTATTTGCTTAATAGCCTAACAGTGTGGCAAAATACAGTTTAACTCACGTTTATCAGGTTGTAAGCATTAACGATGTTTTTAGAGTTCTATCTGAAAAGAGCATTTTGTCTATCCTGAAGGTGATTGTTTCCGGCATTAACAGGTGTTACTAAGGCCGATGTTGATCCTCTTAGCAGTACCTGATGAAATGCTTAGCAGCTCATGAGTTTAGAAATGACAGCTGAGTCTATGGCTGCTGTTGTGCCAACATGTGTATACTTTGAGTCTTACATAGCTCTAGCTAACATGGGGTCACTTGGGTTTGTTAGTCTTGGACTTGACTGGCCTTAGTGGGGCAGGACCCGTTGGTGTCACAGAGCAGACTGTGGGGCAGTGATTGAGTTTCCAGTTCTAGCCTAAGTTACTGTCATGCTCTTGCCTACTGAGCTTCAGTCTGCACACAAAACTAAGCTAGGTCTTCCAATTCTTCATTGGCTTCCCAGCAGCAAGACACACACGTTTTTCTTAATCCTTATGAAATAAATTCCCCTTGTTTTTTTATTTTTGAGAATAATTTGATCATGTTATCCCTTTCTAGATTTCTGCCACAGATCCTTTAGTCTACCAGAGATGGTTGAATAAGATTTGTACATTAGAAAGTTTTATCTTTAGAATTTAGGCAGAATTATTATGGGTGGCAAGTTTTAAAATTAATATTTGTGTACTCAAATTCTATTAGTATAAAATCTAGATGGTTTTTATTGACCTTCTTGTCTCTAATTTTGTTTACTGTGATTATAATCCATTAACTTTTTAATCTATAAACAGTGACGATGATTGATGGAAATTATATAACTTTTGTCCTTAAGCAGTGACAGCTGTAATAATATTGCCACTAATTATGCTTTCACCTTTAAATTTAATTTTCCTGATAAATCACCCTGTTTCATAGACAAACTTGTTATGTTTGTTTATATACTAATTGCATGATATACTGAAATATTTTATAAACTCTAGATCCAGTCCCAGAAATTGAAACCTGCTATTGTCCAGTGTAAACTGGTAGAACTGATTCAGTTGATATTCCCTTTCTTTTTTGTTTTTCCCTGTCTTTTATTCAAGAGCTAGTGACTGCTTAATTTATTTTGCTTTCCTTATAGGAAAGGTGGACATTTTACAGGTTTTTTTTGCCTTTCATTAAATTTATTTTAAAAGAAATTTTCATTGGAAAATGCTTTTTTCCTCTGTGTAACTAAGTAATCATATACTATTTTATCCTTAGGTTTGAGTTCTGGGAGGATTTTGAAGAAGACCATGGGAAAGGGAGAGAGAATGGATACCAGAGTCTTCATAAGGTGCTAGAGCCTTTCCTTCTCCGGAGAGTCAAAAAAGATGTGGAGAAATCCCTTCCTGCCAAAGTGGAACAGATTCTCAGGGTGGAAATGTCAGCTCTTCAGAAACAGTATTACAAGTAAGTTGTTTTACCTGGGTCAGGCCTGAATAGGATTGAGATTAGTACCATTACATAGATATTAGATAGATATTTGACAAATAAACTGGTTTTTCCAGTGAAGCCTCAACTTAGTACTAATTTATTAAAGGTCAGAAAGAGGAAGTTTTATTATTCTTGCTTTTTTTTAATCTGGGTAAATGAAAAGTTAGTTGCACATTACTTTCACTGTGTAAGTGGTCTGCAGTATACATTAACTCTTAGTGCTAACCCTCTTAACCGCTAGACAGGCATATTTCACTTATCCATTATTTTTTCTCTACCATTCGTTTGATCATATACTAAGCTTCTGCAACATATCAGATATTCTGCTAAATACTGGGAATATAAAGATGAATGTTTTATGTTCCCTGTTAACATCGTCCTTGTTAAAGCCTTGTTGTGTGGTGTGGAAGACAGGCTGTAGATGAATAATTGAAGCAGTGTGCTGTTTAGTAACTGAGGCCTGTACAGGGGGTTGGGGAAGTTCATAAGAAGTACTCAGCTGTGTACTCAAGAGTGAGTATTCTTCCCTTCATAGTGCTCCAAGTGGACAGGCAGGTGGTGTACTTGGTTTAGGTTATATTATGTTAAAGCTAAAATACTGGGCTTGGGACAGAAAGTGATATATAATGTGCTTGTCATGAACTTTAGTTTTGATGATTTAAAGTTGGATCTGGAATAATTGGAATTAATTGTGTTGCCGCAAAGGCTGTGGTCGTGGTCCTTTAAGTCAGAGGTCTGGTAATCTCTGATAATTGTCCCTGCTGTTTATTCATTAATGCAACTAAATAACAAATAAGATTTTAATTTCCAAAATGGCCATCTGACCATTTTGCCTAACAGTACATGAAATTTTTAAAAAACTTTTCATTATGGGAAATTTCAAATACATACAAAAACAGAATATACCCATGTACATATAACCCAGCTTTAACAGTGATGAGGACCAATCTTGGTTCATCTGTATCTTTCCTTGTATCTGTCCCTCCCCACTGATTGTTTTGAAGCATATCCCAGGTACGTATCATAAATGTTTCAGTATATATCTTTAAAAGATAAGGACTCTCTTTGTTTTGTTGTTGATAAGCATAATTTCAAATACAGTTATCACGCCTAAAAAATCAATAATCCTTAACATTTCTATAATATTCAGTGAGTGTTAATATTTTCTTGGTTGCTGTATATATATAGGTATATGTATGTGTACATATTGTTAAAAAACAAAGATGTCACTTGAAGGACTAAGGTGCGTGTGACCCAAGCCATGGTGTTTTCAATTGCCTCATGCATGCAAAAGCTGAATGATGAATAAAGAAGACCAAAGAAGAATTGACGCCCTCAAATTGTGGTGTTGACAAAGAATATTGAATATACCATGGACTGCCAAAAGAACGAACAAATCTGTCTTGGAAGAAGTACAGCCAGAGTGCTCCTTGAAAGCGAGGATGGCGAGACTTTGTCTCACGTACTTTGAACATACTGTCAGGAGAGATCAGTTCCTGGAGAAGAACATCATGCTTGGTAAAGTAGAGGGTCATCGAAAAAGAGGAAGACCTTCAGTGAGATGGATGACACAGTGGCTGCAACAATCGGCTCAAACGTAACAATGATCGTGAGGATGGCGCAGGACCAGGCAGTGTTTTATTCTGTTGTACATGGGGTCACTATGAGTTGGAATTGACTCAACGGCACCAAACAACAATGACCATATATATACGTAGACGTATATATACTCCCCATTATAGGGTCGCTATGAGTTGGAATTGACTTGACAGCAATGAATATATATACATATGTACATGCATGCATATACAAACACACACAATTTTGCTTGTTTGAATTAAATAAGGTCCATACGCTATGATTGGTTGCTATGTCTCTTAAGCTTATTTTGATGAATAGGTTCACCATCCCTTTTTTTTCTGTCCTTGTAAATTTTTTGAGTGAAGAAACTGAGTCTGTGTTTTGTAGATTTTTCTCACAGCCTGTATTTTGCTGATTTCAACTCCATGACATCATTTAACATTTTCTCTGAAACCTGTATTTCCTATACGTTCATAAATAAGTTTAGAGACTTGATTTGACTTAGATTCAACAATTCAAAGATGTATTCTTTCACAGGATTTTGTCTTTCTTTTTGTGATATTAGCATCTACTATTGAACATTTCCCAAATCCTTAATTCATTAAAACCAAACCTGTTGCCATCGAGTTGATTTTGACTCATGGCAACCCTGTAGGACAGAGTAGAACTGTCCCAACAGGGTTTCCACGGCTGTAATCTTTACGGAAGCAGACTGCCACATCTTTCTCCTGCGGAACAGCTGGTGGGTTTGGACTGCCTACCTTTCAGTTAGCAGCTGAACATTTAACCACTGTGCCACCAGGGTGCCTGTTAATTCATTAGTGATTGTAGAATGGTAATATTTAAATTTTATCACTCCTTCATTTATTAGCTGGAATACTTCTGTAAAAAGAAATTTCTCCATATCAACTAAGGAATGGTTCATATAGGAAAAGCAGAATAAATGCTTGATTTTTTTATTTTTACTTTGGCCATTCCAAAAGGAAAAAATGGGTTATCCAGCTTCCTCCAAAGATTTTGGCCAGTGAGATTTATTTAATATGATTATGAACTTAATAGATCTAAATATAATTTACATTTCATTCCATTACAGTTATTACCCATACTCTTGCTCTAATTGTCTTATTTTTAGCCACTGGGAGCTTATTCAAGTTGGTCCTATGTCCATTTGACATAATCCTAGTAGCATTTGATCGCTTTTTCGCTTTTTGGAAAGATAATATGTTCCAGATTCATCATGTATGTTTTCTGCCATGGAACTAGAGTGAGCCATTTATCCAAGAAACTCTGGATACCATTTTACTGGGTTGGGTGTTGTTTACAGGCCTGTTTAGTGGACAGAGTTAGGAAATCTGTTTCCTTGGTTTTAAAGATAAAAATAGATCATTCTTTTTCAGTTAAACAGGGTTACAGAGCTTTTATTTGGCCTTTTTAATCATAAATCCGTTTTTTAACCATACCAACCTAATGTATATTGCACACACAACAGTCTTAGAATAATAGTACCAGAACTAGCATCAACAATATGAATAGCAAAAACATTAAGATTTTTTTACAGTAGTTTTTTTTTTTAATTTTTAAAGTATATCCCGCTAGAAACGGACAAGTCTTAAAGGACTTGAGATACGTTTCTCTTCTGTGTGGTTAGACCACCAACTGGATACATATGTTCATTTTATTCTTTATTTTTAGGGACTGCTTTGTTTAATTTTGTTATATAATTTCTTAAATTCAAAGTCAAAACTGCAAAACCTGGTATGTTCCAAGATGTCTAGCCTCTGTCCCCTCCATTCTGGTTCCTCTTTCCCCATAGGTAATTATTGTTATTTTAAAAATTACAATTCTTTGTTATTATTTTTAAATATAAGCAGATACATATTACCTTTTTTTTGCCTCCCTCTTAGTAAATGGTTATATACATTTTTCTATACCTTAACTTTTTTCACTTAATGAGGTGTCCTGAAGATACTCCTTATTTCTTTTTAAAATTGCATAGTATTCCCACTCCTGGTGGTCACCTTTCATTAAAATAGGATATTGACTTATAAAATAAACAACATCAACTGTGAACATTCTGCTCCCTTAAATTAATCAACCACATGAGACCAAATGGTCAACATTTACCCCAAAACAAAGATGAGAAGCTAAGAAGAGGCAGGGAAGCTAGATTAATGGAAAGAGAACAAAAGAATGGAAATAATGCGAATGTTGACACATTGTGAAAAATGTAATGAATGTATGGAACAAGCTATATAAAAACTGTTAAGTGAGAACCTAACTTGCTAGGTAAACTTTCACCTAAAACACACATACACACAAATACACACAAACTGCATAGTATTCCATTTTGGATATATAGAATTGTTTATTCAAACAGTCCCCTACTGGAAGACATTTGGGTTGTTTCAAATACAACAGTTTAAATGGGTACATGTCTTCTATATTATGTTGTATCTTTATTTATTTATCGAATCTCCGAATCTCCTACCGTTTGACAGCTTATTTCTAATTTTGTTTTGCAATAAAGAGTACTTCAGTGACAATTCTTGTGTGTATGTATATGCATGTATTTATTGTTTCTTTTTAATATTTCTGTGAGCCATGGTGTTCCGTGACATTGGAATAGTCAGTAGAATGATCAGTGTGCTGAATGTGACTGGAGACATGAGGGAAGCTGGGTAGGTGGTTGGAGATGCAAAATAAAATACTTCGTTCTCCTTTTAAACTTTCACTAGGTCTTTTTGTGTGTGTGTGTGTGTGTGCATTTTTCAGTAACACTACTGCTTCTTATAATCTTGTGGCACCCTCAATTCTCTACTTCTTTCAAGGTAATGACATCAATATTATGTTCATTTGCAGGTGGATTCTGACCAGGAATTACAAGGCTCTTGCCAAAGGAACAAGAGGCAGCACATCTGGTTTCCTTAATATTGTGATGGAGCTGAAAAAATGCTGCAACCACTGCTATCTGATTAAACCCCCTGAAGAAAATGAAAGGGAAAATGGACAGGAGATTCTTCTGGTGTGTTCTTATTCTAATTACTTTCTCAAAAAACTGTTTACTCTCTATAAGATGCTTTTGATAATAATGTTCCTTTTCCTCTTTAATGATTCTTCAAGGAGCACCAAAAAGAAGCTGTAAGAACAGGTGAGAGAAGTTAAATAACTAGGAAAAAAAATGCAGAAAATACAGTATCACAGATACCATGTAAAAAGAGTATTTCAGGAATTGCTGGTCAGTCAGATTGCCGAAGGCTTCAGAAACCTTAAAGATGATTTTAAAAATATGAGCTCTTTGAGATGAAAGGCAGTCTGAAGTATGGGTTTGAACGTGATGACTGAGAATGTCTTTTGTATTTTCAGTCCCTGATCAGGAGCAGTGGGAAGCTGATTCTGTTAGATAAACTGTTGACAAGACTTCGAGAAAGGGGGAACAGAGTCCTTATCTTCTCCCAGATGGTTAGAATGTTGGATATCTTGGCTGAATACCTGACTATTAAGCACTATCCTTTCCAGGTAAGAATGCTCAGTAATTCGTTCGGCAGTCTCTCTCTTTGAGATGTGTGCTCTGCCTGCAGCACTACCCTAAAGTAGAAAACAGGAGTTTTCTTACTTGAAAAAATTGAGATTAAGGTTCCTGAGAGGATCTTACGTTTTATTCCCTTGCCTTTAGGCTACCCTATAATGAAAATCGTCACGTGAAGATCATTTTTTTTTTCTTCCTCCTTTTTAATTAGAGAAAGGAAAATTTGGTGAGAGAGAAGTATGTTAGATTAGATAATGTCTTAAATCTCCAAGTCTGGTAAAAGTAGAAGAAAGAAGTGTGAACATGATTTTAGAAGCCCAAATCCTAGAAGGAAAGAAACCAAGAGGTGCCAGTGTTGTACCTTCACCCCAGCGAAGCTGGCCCTGCCTGTGAGCCTGGGAAGAAGCAAAACAGGGCTACCTGCTGGTTTCTGAAGCAAGTGCTGATGACTTCCCTTCTCCCAGGAATTTCATATTTACTTAGTTATCTCTATGGGGAAAAAGAATGTCTCGGCATAATGATATTTTCCTGTGTATTACATTTTGGGAAACTTATCTCTGATCTGTTTATAAAGATGTATGCAGTTTGCCTTGAGTCTTGCAGTAATATTTTTGTAATCCTGTGATCAACTCACATAATTTGCTGGTATTGAAGAAACTTGGAAGCAGTTATTATCTTCTAGGAAGGTCAAGCTTTAACAGTCACTAACAGTGTCTTTCAGAATATCCTAAAAGGCATTGTTGTATCCACAATACCTTGTGTGGTCTTTCAGCAGCTGTCTTAGAATATAGTTAACTGTGTGATTATTATTAAAAAATAGCACACTGTAAAAAGACAATTATTTCTCAATGTATTGGCCCCTGCAAACTTTTAGTTCTAGCTAATCATTTGATACCAAGTGAAACAAGACTGCATTACTCTGTAGGGAATAACTGAGCTGTAGTCCGTTCAGGTCTATCATGTCTAATCAGTGACTTTTAGGTAATTGACTTAATGTGTGCTTAAAGGAAGGCATTTACGTTTTCCAGTTTCAAATACAGACTGTTGAACTGCCATTTAGGCATATCTCTAGTTTAAAGGCTCTGAGTAGCATTGATAGTGAGAAGAGGAAAGCAGGTTCCCGTGTGTGATTGGACTTGTTTTCAGGCGGCCGTGGGTCTCCTGGGCAGAGCTCTGGGGTGGGGAGATACAGGTCCTTCCAGACTCTGCTGCCAGCCAGTCACTGGTCCTTGGCCAGCTGACGTCATCCTTCAAGTCAGTTCTGCCTTCTATAAAGTGAGGTATTTTGCTTGGTAAATGTGATAGGAAGAAATGTGCAAAAGATGATAAAGAGTGAGAAATCCTTTTTATGTACAGTATGTGGGTGATAAGTGTTCAGGGTTTGTCTTACATATTCTGTGTTTCAGTTATGGTGACATTGTTTTACACCTAGAACTGACACATGCTCTAATAAAAGAATCGTATGTCACTTCTAAATACCAGAGGCTCTCTTCAGGATGTAGTTTGGCTGGTTGAATAGAATTCCCCAGTACAATTTGCTCTGATTTCACAGTGTAATCTTTGGGAAAGCTGGGGGTGTATAATCAGCTTAATTTTAACATTCTTTAATATTGTGGCAATATATTTTCCAGACAAAATTATGTAAATACTTTTTTTTGTGTGTGTAGCAGTAATAACCCTGATACTTTTAGCCACATTAGCTAAGAAGTATTATTTTTCTGCAGGAGCTAGTTATTAGGTATCCACAGATGGAGAAGCAAGCAAAGCCTCTAAGCAAAAGTTGGGTTGGCATCTTTCTCCTTAACGATCCTTGCAGCCATTCTGATCCTTCGGTAAACCTGCGACAGCCCTTTGAATCAGAGGCCTCTGACCTTGAGTCTGTAACTGGAGAGCTCTGGTCAAGTAGGGTGTGCTGCTCAAGCACAGCCCTTTGGCGGCCCTTTGGCAGTGCATTCTGGTTATTTTCACTCAGTGGGTGTTGGAGTGATAAAAGGTTGCAAGCCTAGTGTTCTATTCTGGTGTAGCTGACCTTCCTACCTTATGATTTTCTTGTGGTGTATTTTTACAGCGTCTGGATGGTTCCATCAAGGGAGAAATCCGAAAACAGGCGCTGGATCACTTCAATGCAGATGGGTCTGAGGTACAGTATGCATGGCTTTGTTATTTGGGCAGTTTGGGCTCTGTATCAAGGGGAAAGCCTTTCCAGCTTAATGCATTCTGTTCAAGAAACAATTTACAGTGTAGTTCTTCTGCCTTGAGAAGGGAATGAGAAATCCCTACCATAGAACATGCCTGTTAATTTACTTGTTTGTCACCCCAAAAGGCATATGTGTGCTTGTTTATCTCTCTTGTCTTGATTAATGAAAGACTAGTTCTGGTAGCAACTGAGTGTTCTCTCTGATGGCTTCCAGATCCAAATTTCTGGGCTTGGGAGAGCAGCAAGGGAAGGACGGTAGGTGGGGGAGGGCTGGCCAGTAGAATAAATTTTGACATGTACGTAACATTGAAGCTTCTGATCTGTATTTTTTTGGTGACCGAGGCTAGAAAAGAACATTTGCCATATCTCATTTGTTGGACTCCTGGTTCGATGTGGCTTAGTGCTTTGGCTAACAGCAACATTTTTCAATCATAAGTGTCCAGCTTGGATTTGGCATTATAAAGGATTTTGGTTTTGAGGCATCTGTAGAAGAGCTACTAAGGACAAATTGGAAACTGATGCCATCGTAGTTTGTGACTATTGAACTATTAAATGCCATAGGATTTGAGAGAAATGGGGGAGAAGAGGTTTAATGTAAGTAAAACTGTAACAATGTGGAGAGAACTAGAAGTGTTTCAGAGAGAATGGAGAATTTCCAGAGCCTGGATCACTATTTTGCGTAGATAAAACAGACTTTTTAGCTTCCTGCTTTCTTAAGACCTCTAATAGCTTTTAATGTCTGTGTCTATTAAGAGTGGTATCCCTTCTGCTTCTAGACTCACAGATAGTATTACTTAGACTATAATATCCTGGCTACTTCTATAGCCTAAAATTTTAGTTCTCCTTGAGGCGCTTTGGGCGCTAAGCTATTCAGAAGCAAAATTCTGAATGGTTAAGGATAGGAGGACTTAAATTTACTAAAAAGATTAATCATCTAATTCCCATCCTTCCTTTTTCTCCTCTCTCAGTTTCCTCAACTATAAAATCAAAATAATTCCAGTACCTACTTCAGAATATTTCTGTGAGGATTTAATGCAATAATCAACGTAAAGCACTTGGCACACTGCCTAGCACATTGTTGTTAGGTGCTGTCCAGTCAAGTCTGACTCGTAGTGACCCCATGCATAAAGGAATGAAACACTGCCCAGTCCTGCGCTGTCTTCACAGTTGTTGCAATTTTTAAGCCCATTGTTGCAGCCACTGTGTCAGTTCATCTCATTGAGGGTCATCCTCTTGTTTACCAAGCATGATGTCCTTCAGGGACTGGTTCCTCCTGATAACATGCCTGAAGTATGTGAAACAGAGTCTCACCGTCCTCCCTTCTAAGGAGCATTCTGGCTGTACTTCTTCCAAAACAGATTTGTTCTTTCTTCTGTCAGTCCATGGTACATTCATTATTCTTCGCCAACACCATAATTCAAATGTATCAGTTGTTCTTTGTCGTCTTTATTCATTATCCAGCTTTCATATGCATATGAGGTGATGGAAGATACCATGGCTTGGGTCAGGTGTACCTTAGTCCTCAAAGTGACATCTTTGCTTTTTAACACTTTTTTTAAAGCGTTCTTTGCAGCACATTTGCCTAATACAATTCGTAGTTTGATTTCTTGACGGCTACTTCCATAGGGTTGATTGTGGATCCAAGTAAAATGAAATCCTTGATAGCTTCGATCTTCTTTCTGTTTATCATGATGTTGCTTATTGGTCCAGTTGTGAGGATTTTTGTTTTCTGTATGTTGAGGTGTAATCTATACTAAGGTTGTAGTCTTTGACCTTCATCAGTAAGTGCTTCAAGTCCTCTTGACTTTCAGCAAGCAAGGTTGTGTGATCTGCATATTGCAGGTTGTGAAGGAGTCTTCCTCCAATCCTGATGCCCCATTCTTCTTCATATAGCCCAGTTTCTTGGATTATTTGCTCAGCACACTGATTGAATAAGTATGGTGAAAGGATGCAGCCCTGATGCACACTTTTCCTGACTTTAAACTATGCAGTATCTCCTTGTTCTGTTTGAACAACTGCTTCTTGGTCTATGTACAGGTTCCCCATGAGGACAATTAAGTGTTCTGGAATTCCCATTTCAGTGTTACCCATAATTTGTTATGATCCACACAGTCAAATGACTTTGCATAGTTGGTAAAACATAGGTAAACATCTTTCTGGTATTCTCTACTTCTCAGCCAGAATCCATCCGACATCAGCAGTGATATCCCTGGTTCCCTGTCCTCTTTTGAATCTGGCTTGAATTTCTGGCAGTTCCCTGTTGATATACTGCTGCAACCATTTTTGAATTATCTTCAGCAAAATTTTACTAGCTTGTGATATTAATAGTAATTTTTTGATAATTTCTGCATTCTGTTGGATCACCTTTCTTTGGAATGGGCACAAGTATGGATCTCTTCCAGTCCGTTGGCCAGGTAGCTGCCCTCCAGATTTCTTGGCATAGATGAGTGAGCGCTTCCAGCATTGCATCCGTTTGTTGAAACCTCTCAATCAGTATTCCCTCAATTCCTGGAGCCTTGTTTTTTGCCGGTGTCTTCAGTGCAGCTTGAACTTGTTCCTCTAATACTGTCAGTTCTTGATTATATGCTGCCTCCTGAAATGGTTGAACGTCGACCAATTCTTTTTGGTATAGTGACTCAGTGTATTCCTTCCATCTTCTTTTGATGCCTGCTGCGTCATTTAATACTTTTCCTGTAGAAATCGTGCAGTGTTGGAGCTCAAGACTTGAATTTTTTCTTCAGTTCGTTCAGCTTGAGAAATGCAGAGCATGTTCTTCCCTTTTGGTTTTCTAACTTCAAGACTTTGTACATTTCATTATAATACTTTACTTTGTCTTCTTGAGCCACCGTTTGAAATCTATTCAGCTCTTTTACTTCATTATTTTTTCTATTTGCTTTAGCTACTTTACATTCAAGAGCAAGTCGGAGTCTCTTCTGACATCCCTTTTGGTCTTTTCTTTCCTGTCTTTTTAGTGTCCTTTTGCTTTCTTCATGTATCATGTTCTTGATTTCGTCCTACAGCTCGTCTGGTCTTCAGTCATTAGTGTTCAGTACATGTTCAATTCTTGATATGGTCTCTAAATTCAGGTGGGATATACTCAAGGTCGTACTTTGGCTCTTGTGGACTTGTTTTAATATTCTTCAGCTTCGTCTTGAAATTGCATATGAGCAATTGATGGTCTGTTTTGTAATCAGTCCCTGGCCTTATTCTGACTGATGATATTGAGCTTCTCCATCGTCTTTTTCCACAGGTTAGTCTGTTTGATTCCTGTGTATTCCATCCGGTGAGGTCCATGTGTATAGCTGCCATTTATTTACTGAAAAAATGTATTTCTAATGACTAGGTTGTTGGTCTTGCAAAATTCTACCATGTGGTCTCCGGCATTGTTTCTGTCACCAAGGCCCTATTTTCCAACTGCTGATCCTTCCTCTTTGTTTCCAACTTCCGAATTCCAATCACCAGTAATTATCAATGCGTCTTGGTTGCATGTTTGATGAATTTCAGACTGTAGAAGCTGGTAAAAGTCTTCAGTTTCTTCATTTTTGGCATTAGTGGTTAGAGAATGAATTTGAATAGTAGTCATATTAACTGGTCTTCCTTGCAGGTGTATGGATATTATCCTATCACTGACAGTATTGTACATCAGGATGGGTCTTGATTCTTTTTGACAGTGAATGCAATGCCGTTCCTCCTCAATTTGTCATTCCCGATGTAGTAGACCATATGAGTGCCTGATTTAAAAGTTTTCACTGGCAAATTTTTTTCTTGAAGTAGATCGCCATGTCCTTCTTTCTAGTCTGCCTTAGTCTAGAAGCTCCACTGAAACCTGTCCAGCGTGGTTGACCCCGCAGGTATTTGAAATATCGGTGGCATAGCTTCCAGCATCACAGCAAGATGCAAGCTGTCACAGTACAACAAACTGACAGACATATGGTGGAGCACATAGTAAGCACTCAATAAATGTTAGCTATTGTAATTTTTTGGTATTTGTTGAAATTGGTTTTGTGATCCCTGAAAAACCTAAAGTTGCATTTTGTCTGGCTTTGATTGATTACTCTCTTCCACCGTTTTGACTATATATGGAATACAGGTTTTCTACCATTTTCTGCAAATCCAAGTCATTTTTTAGTTAATTAAAAGATACTTTATCAATGGGGGAAAATACATGCTCATTTAGAAAATTTGGAGGGTGATGAAAGTACAACTGAGAAGAGTTGTACGTAATCCCCACCCCAAAGACAACTTGCTGTACATCATTTGGGTGTGTTTCCATTCATACTGGGTGGAACTGTTTATTTCTGTATATGTTTACATAATTGGGATCACGCTTTCGTTGTCTCCTTTCTTTGAAGATTATATGCTGAGCATTTTCCCCATGTCATTAAAGATTTTTCAAAATTTTAATTTTTAATATTTTCTCAGCCTCTATCATTATGTATTCAACCATTTTATTACTGACGGATGTTTACTTAAGAGGCTATGAGCATTTTTTAATGATTTTTGATACATTTAGCTAAATTACTTTCCCCAATTTGCATTCATTCTGTTTATGGACGAATATTTCCATTTTACTTCACTCTTAGTAACGTTGAGTTTCATAATTTTTGAAGTTTTGATAATAGAGAAAAATAACATAATTCATATTATCTTTAATAAAGAGTGACATTAAACATTGTTTATGTTACATTCAGACCCCAGGTATTATTTAAGTTTTAAGTATCCAAAAATGCTCACTACTTACCTGCAGCTTTCTCCAGGGTCATCTTCAGAGTGTGTTGTTGCTTGGTGTTTCTACCAAAGGGACGCGGAGTGTGTGCCTCGGTCCCCCTGCTGGTCACTTCTTTATTGGAATTGTTTGAAGCCCTTGAAATATCTGTCTCCATTTTATTTCTATGGCTTAATCCTTTTGAATGTGACTATTAGATGTGGAGACCTTTTCATCCATTTACATATGTACATTAAGTATACTTCTTATCAAGCTGTAACACCAAACTACCAGTTTTTGAGTGCCACTTCTGTGCCAGAATGGTGTGAGGCCTTTAACATACATTATCAAATTCTCTGTAATTAGAAATCTTGACTTTTTTTGCTTCTTGTTTTTTTCCTTCTGTCTCACATAGTTTATTCTCTTGGTCCACTTCATGTTTTTCTGCACACTCAGACACAACAGGCAGATGTATGGTGCCTGCCCAATCTCTATTAGAATGAGTCAGTGTGTGGGTCTTTTACACGCATGGCTCTTTAGCCAAGCCTGCTCTGGTTTTCTTTCTGCATGTTCTGTGGTGACTGAGGAGCCTGTGCTTCTCAGCAGTGCCTACATGTGACCTGTTCAGTGTAGTGTTCCTGTGTTTCTCACCAGCCTGACAAATGGATGGATGTTTGCATAGAACAGTATTCTTGTTTATACTGACTGCCCTACATAGCATAATCCACCTTCACACAGAAAGTAAATGTCTAGGTAGCCTGCTGGAATGATCCCCTTGATAATTCCATTTGTCTGTTTTTTGTTAACTTCTTACATACTGGTTCCAACCAGAGATAACGCTAATTTCCTTGCTCCCATTGCTTTATTAGATTCTACTCTATTCCTTAGTTTACTGCACTGATTCTTCCTCTTAAATGAAAGTTCACTCTGCCATCAAGTCCCTGACATTCTTTTAGCCTCCATAAAGTGTGTCCATCATATCTCACTTTTCTTCACACCTGCAGGGGTTTCCAGGTATAAGGGCTTATTGGACTGTGAAACTGTTTCTGAGAAGGCCACTGCATAAAGTAGTATATTGCATTGTGTACAGGACTTCTGTTTCCTGCTCTCGACAAGGGCTGGTGGCCTGGGAATCAATTTGGCTTCAGCGGACACAGTCGTCATCTTTGACTCTGATTGGAACCCCCAGAACGACTTGCAGGCACAAGCCCGAGCCCATAGAATTGGCCAGAAGAAGCAGGTCAGTGGGGACAAGCTTCTGGATGTAGCTCAACCCAGGGGGAGAGTTCAGCCTTTACAGGATGTTTGTAAAATGCTTCTTTCCCATTTCACTCTTATTTCCCCAAGGGTGGATTTCTGCTTGTTAAATAGTAGAGTTTAGAGATTATATCTTTGGGCCTAAGATGAACTTCTTTCTTTGCTGTTTTTAAAAGAAAAGTACACCACTGGTAACTTTCTAAGAGTTTACCCCAAGATGAATACTTGATGAATAGACTGAACTTTTTTTTTTTTAATTTTAATATGGAGAAGTTTGTAAACATTCTAGTATTGTTCAAGATGGTCTATTTTTGACAGTGTTAGCACTGAGGTACGTTAGAAAAGTACACATTTGCTTCCTTCATAGATGAATCTTAAGTCCACACTAGCATTGGTTAGCTTGTAAGTTTCACACTTGACGAAAGATTCAGTTTTGGTGAAATCTTCCATCAATGAAACCGATTATTCTTTGGCAAGAGTTTTTGTTATTAAAACAAGGCTATATAATAATAATCCTTTAGAGGCAATTTAATTTAAGAATATAGCCTGCTGCAGATAGTAAAGGATATTGTACCTACTTAAGCCGCTTGCCTGGATAGAGAGTTTATAGTCATTTATAGCAGCAGAGAGCAGGTCTTTTTTATTTTCCCCTCCTGGGCTTTAGGCAGAGGAAAAAAAAATTTTTTTTTTTTTTTTAAAATCAGGCATTAACATAACAGTTTCTCTTTCTTCAGGTAAATATTTACCGCTTGGTTACAAAGGGAACCGTGGAGGAGGAGATCATAGAACGAGCCAAAAAGAAGATGGTATTGGACCATCTGGTGATTCAGCGCATGGATACCACTGGCCGGACGGTCCTGGAAAACAACTCGGGAAGGTCCAAGTAAGTTTCAGAAGGATGGAGGTAGGCAGAATCAAACTGGTTGTGCATCAACATTTGATGTAATTTATTCTTCCGGAAGGATTCTCTGCAACAGACATCGGTCGATTAATTACCCGGAAAAGGCCAGGTCATAACCACAAGGAGATGGCATTTTCACTTTATTTTGCTTTCTCTATTTTCTTTCTTTTTTTGCCTATCAGCCCTCTTACACACGCATGCATTCTCTGGCTGTCTCATCCTCCCCCTTTCTTCCTTTCTTGCATCTCTGCCTTGCTTTTTGCTCTTCACTCTGCATGTGGCCTGTGATACAGCAGCAGCGGTGGTAGCTGTGTGCCCCCATTAGGTTTCCCTTTGGCACAGTGATGCTTTTGACTTTTCAGTGAGAATCAACCAGATTGAGTTGGCGGCTGTTGTCTTACTATTTGTAAAAAATGCTTGTGTGGGTATTATTATTTACTTTTTTTCGTACTGAAAACAGAAAAGTATATAGAAGGAAAGTAGTGCACTTTCAATTAAATTTTCAGAAGGACAACTATTTTTCTCCTATTGAATTTAAATTTTGACCAGATTGTTGAGTGTTTCTACTGTGGCAGTCCTGCAGCCTGTGTTAAAGGTGAATTCACGTTAGCCCTTCTTCAAGACAATTATTTTCAGATATTTTTCCATTCAAGAAGAGCCTGGATGAGAAAAGCTTGGTTCTTTTGTTTTGCACCAGATATGAGGAGATTGAAAATTCTAGTGAATGATAACTTTCTGAGTCAAAGGACAAAGAGAATGATGGCTTATCATCATTTTCATGTTGGCTAATCTTTCTTGGTTAATCATGTAATAGATGAGCCAACAGGAAAATAATTATTTTTACTTTGTCTTCTGCTAGGTTCAGTTTACCACCACAGATTCATCCTCTGGATTAAAAACAATGACGTATTTGAGAGATCATTTTTCTTGGGGCAGAATTTATATTTTCACCAGTAATTTGATGCCTTTACAAAGGGTAGATATTCTTAAGTGGAACTTCTTAAGAGATGATTTGACATTTCTGAGGTTACAGCTACATTTTACTTCTACAGCTCAAATCCTTTTAATAAAGAAGAGCTGACAGCAATTTTGAAATTTGGAGCAGAGGATCTCTTCAAAGAACTTGAAGGGGAGGAATCAGAGCCTCAGGTAATTAATAATGAGGAAAACAATGTTTTTGAGAAGTATTGTCTGTGAGAGTCTCAGTTTTTCCTGGAAGTGGATTCTGAGTCTGTATTAGAGGCATTTGTAAAGAAAGAATAATAACTTTTTTTTTTTCCTTATGGAGCATAAAGCTCTTACTAAGTAACATAGGAAAGAATGAGAAAAATACTTGAGGATTCTGTCTTGGGGTTTTTTTGTTTTTTTTTT